ACAGACAGTACAGTGAGCTTCAAAGCTGTGGCTCAAAAAGTCAGTGGCTGGGGAATTGATTGCATCTTTGCATTATCAAAGCAGAGAAGAAGGGGTGGGGGAGTTTGATTTTAAAATGGCGGCTTGCCCAACCAAAATGTAGTTTGTTGTGTAGGTTTTTGAAATCAATATCAAGTGGATTTTAGATTGTCTTTAATCCTAGTTTAAATTACTGCACAGGTGGTGTCGTTCCCAATCACCTTTTACATTCAGGAGACACAATCGGGAGGGAGGGAGAGACTGGGCCCTGACAAGGAGGTTTCTTTTTGCCTCCAGCTTATTTGGAGGAGAGGGTGTGCAATGTATTGTCATTGCTGGAGAGAAGGCGTTACGTTGTTTCCTGCAATTAGTTCCCCCCAGTCTTCGATCCACTATCATGAGACCAAGATTCAGAGCCTGTGATAGCAGGGCTGGGGAGTAGGAATCATAGCGAGGGTAGCTTGCCTGTCCCTCTCATGCATGCATACATGTTTAGTATGTTTATGTGTAGTGTGGTAGTGCCCATTGTGCTAGGTGCCACACAAATATAAATAAAAGATGTCTCTGAGCTGAATATCTTACAATCTAAAGCCTTGTCTTCTCTAGGAAGAAAGATGTTTTCTAGGTTCCCATGGAGTCTTCACCTTGACCTCGTGTGAGAACTGCAAACTACTTTGTCTTCACTTGGATTTTACCTCGTTAGTTACTGCGTGTTAGCTAACACATGGTCAGAAAACAGCTTTTTTCCTAGTGAAAACATACGGGAGGACAGGAGACAACAGATGGAGACAACAAAAAGGCAGGGGGATCCCAACCTAACAATGAGACGCTGATAAGCTATGTAATAAGCGACAGTTATGCCTCAGCATGCATAGCCCCCATTCCCACATATTCACACACATGCACAGACCCATCTGCAAAAATAACAAAGACCTAAGCCTAGGTTATCTGAATATGATGCTGGCTTTTCTTCCCTTGGTATTAATTTGCCAGTGCCAGGCCGAGGCAACGTCTTTGTATTTCAACAGCACCTTCTATCCAAAGATCTCACAGCACATTATGAACATTCTTTAATTAAGTTTCCCTGTGAGGTCGGCAAGTAAAATATTAACATCCGCATTTTGAAGACACAGAAACAGAGGTTTGCCTCAAGATCACACAACAAGTCAGCAGCAGGGTCAGGAACAAACCTCAACAGTCCTGATTCCCTGTCCTCCCTTGCTGTAACCACTAGACCACATACCCTACCAGAGTATATAGAACAGTAGTGTTTAAGGCCAGAGGGGTCCATGAGCTCATCTAGTATAACGCAGGCCACAGAATTTCATGCAGTTACTTCTGTATTAAACCCGGTAACTTGTGTTTGGCTAAAACATATCTTCCAGGAAGGCATCGAGTCTTGATCTGAAGACTTCAAGACCTGAAGAATCTGCCACTATCCTGGTACTTTGTTTCAATGGTTAATCCCCTTCCTTGTTACAAATGTGCACCTTATTTCTAAGGCTATGTCTACACTAGCACTTTTGTTGGAAAAACTTTTGTCTCTGAGGGGTGTGAAAAAACGCTCTCTCGCTGACATAGCTGCCGCCGCTATATCTGTAATGTGGACATAGCCTAATATGAATTTGACTGATTACATTCCAGCTATAAAGTGTTCAAACTCCCAGCTTCCTGCCCTATCCACTTCCTTTCAAATCTGGGTTTATAATACAGGTCCCCAGTTGTCTATCTTATCCCTTTTAACCACTGGACACCAATGCCTATGAAACTATAAAAGAAGGATTATTTTTGTAATGGGTGTGTACATTTTTGTTGTTGTTGTTGTTGGTTGCCGAGACAAATCCTTTTATCAGTTACACTTTGCCCAACCCTACTGGCTTCCATGGAACTGCATGGGTCTGAAAGGAGAATCTGGCCCAAGGCCATATGAAACTTTTAGGACATTTAAAAAAAAATCATTGAAAACTGTTAGTATTATCAGTTTAAATTGTCCCCTGAATTGCTGAGATCCAAAACTCAGTGATATATTGATGTATAGTGTAGTAGGAGAAACAGAGTGAAACTGACAAGAAAGTGAAACCAACTAACCTATTAGCACCATCTCCAGCTGAGTGAAGTGCAAACAAGTAAACAAACAGCCAAAAGGAAGAAAAGTAAATTTAAATGTTCTTTAAAATCCTTTGAGTAATTTCAGGTGTTAAAGAAACTGGGGCTCTCAGTTACACCAATGTAAATTCAGGGTAACGCTGCAGGATTTACATTGTTATCACCATGGGCAGAACTGAGCACGAGTTTTATTTTGACATTGTTCCTTCTCTGCAGACCTCATCTGCCGGGGGCCAAATTATTTCTGGCCCACAGGCTCAGGGATTTCTTTTCTTTCTTTTGTCAGCTGAGGGAGGGTGGATCAGAAAGGATGCACGCCCTTAATTCTCTAAGCCCCTCATGAATTTAATATGATGCTTGAATTAGCACCCCCATACCGTCTCACACAATGTATATGAAGAACCTACTGACAATATCTGCAATGGGGGAATAATGTGGGTCTCACTGTATAATCCCTCCTCTGCAAGAAAATCTCCCAAGGTTATTGGATTTATTCAGTCTGCACTCCCTTGGCTCAAGAAGAGAGCTGCTGAGGGGTGTGTGAGTGTGTGTGTGTGTGAAGGGTGCATGGTGGGGATCGGGGGGGGGAGGAAATCCTATAGAAGAGCATTTAAAAACGAGCAACATGAAAAGGTTGCTGGATGTTTAAATGCAGTGACTCACTGCAGCAGGCAGGCTGTGTCTAGACAAACTCCTGCAAATCTCCCAGGCACTTATCCCTTCTCATTCATTTCTGATGGACTGTCTAGTGTGAAGTGAACACAGCTGTCTACTGAGGAATGGAGCCCTTGCATGAAAGGCCACGGGCATCCCTTTTATCTTCCTTTTGATTTTTCTTTGACATACCTTTGTTTCCCTTCTGGACCTCTCCTGCCTTCCATCTCCATAATCTCCTTTATAGAAAGACATATACAGGTACATAAGGAACTTTAACTGGAGCATTAGGACTTGAATACATACATAGAATGTGCTTAACTGAATAAATAGTTAAGCAACTCTTGTCCACAATACTCTCAAACAAAAGGCCTCTATCCCCCTTACAGCCTGGTGGGATATTCATTGCAGCGCACGGAACAGGGGTGCTGTCTCTGTGATCACAGCCACTCCCAGCAGCAGGTAAGAGTTGAATGATGGCTGTAAGGGGTGCTCCTGGCTACCGCAATCCCAGCCTCTCCCAACAGAGGCACTAAAGTGGACAGTGCAGCAGGGTGCTGGCTGTGGGGAGCTGGCACTTAGATGCTACAGTGATGAGCACAGCACAAACTCACAGCTAAATAAATAAAACTCACAGCTCCTCCATTCCCAGGAGGTGGTGCTGTAGAGGATAATGTCGGAGCGCCAGCTCTGAGGGGAGGTCCCTGCTACTCCACTTCCATCTTCTCCCAGCAGGAAGTACTGTAGGGAATGGTGCAGGAATGCTGGCCAAGGGAGGAGCTCACAGCTAGTCCAGAGGCCATGGCCCTCAGCTAGAATCCCTCTGGCAATGATATGAAGCTGCTCCGTTGTCTCTGAGCGTATGTCTACACTGCAGTTCAAAACCCGCGGCCGGCCTGTGCCAGGTGACTCGGGCTCGGGCTGCGGGGCTCTTTAAATGCAGTGTAAACTTCCAGGTTCAGGCTGCAGCCCGGGCTCTAGACCCCTGCCAGGTAGGAGGATCCCAGAGCTCGGGCTGCGGCCCAGGCTGGGAAGTTCACATTGCAATTAAACAGTCCTGCAGCCCGAGTCAGCACAAGCCAGCCGCGGGTGGCTAACTGCAGTGCAGACATGCCCTAAAGCCAGGTCTCTACCGCAAACTTACGGCACTCAGGGGTGTGAAAAATCCACGGACCTATATACCGGTTATACCGACCTAACCCCCGCTGTGTCGATGGGAAGCTGCTCCTGTTGGCACAGCTCCTGCCTCTCACGGAGGTGCATTAACTACGCAGACAGGAGAAGCTCTCCCGTTGGCGTAGTACAGTCTTCACTAAAGCGCTGCAGCTTTTGAAGTGTCGACCTGCCCTAAGGGACCTCCCAGTTCCTCCAGAGAACCACATTTCTGAGATGGATGTGCTGCGAATGACAAAAGAGCACTAACATTTCACCCAATGGAATTAATAGGCAGCAGGTATCAAACAAACACAAGGAAGTATTTCTTCACACAACGCACAGTCAACCGGTGGAACTCCTTGCCACAGGATGTTGTGAAAGCCAAGACTATAACAGGGTTCAAAAAAGAACTAGATAAATTCATGGAGGATAGGTACATCAATGGCTATCAGCCGGGATGGTGTCCCTAGCCTCCGTTAGTCAGAAGCTGGGAATGGGCGACAGGGGATGGATCACTTGATGATTCCCTGTTCTGTTCATTCCCTCTGGGGCACCTGGCATTGGCCACTGTCGGAAGACAGGATACTGGGCTAGATGGACCTTTGGTCTGACCCAGTCTGGCCATTCTTATGTAGCTACTCCTCCCCATGCCTGTCTGAGGACATTCTCTCAAACTGCACCTTGACAGATACTTTATCTACTTTGTGTGTCCATTGTTCCTTTCCTATGAGGATCTCAAAGCCTTTTACAAAAATGAATGAACACGCACTGACCCGCCTCCAGAGGTAGATCAGTCTTACCACCCCCATTTTATAGAGTGGGGGAACTGTGGCACAGAGAGGTGGAGGGACTTGTCCACAGGTTGGCAATGGTAGAGCCAGGTACAGAATCTACAAGAACTAATTCAGAGTTCCTTGCTCTAATCACTGGAGCAGGCTCCTCCCTAAGCCAACATTCCTGGAAAGATACGGGTAGTTGATAGGATGCTGTGGAGGAAGAGAGAGGGGGAGAATGCCAGCAGTAACTGGAATGCTTATTACATAGATATTGTTGTTTCTTTATTGCAGTGATACTTTTTCTTTGCCTTCTAAAAGAGACATGACGCAAGTTCATTTGGACACGTAGAGGCTGTTGTTTCACTTTGGGCCTCTACCATCTCATCACTGCAGCCCCTCAGGAAGGTAAGAAGGTTACTTCCACTGCCCTACCCAAACTGGTTAGGAATCCAGGTAGCTCATACGCTGGTTTGACAGGGGCTGGGATCACCGTGAGCTGACACAGTCTCTGCTGAGGTGAGGCCCTGCATTGTTCCCTGTCCTGCGTCCCTTAATCTCCAGCTGACTCAGAAGCAGCACTGAGCAGTTTCTGAGCCAGATACATCCACCTGTCATGGAAGACAGGATGGATGTGACTCAGGCTTTTTAGTCTGATGATGGGACAGTAAATGGAGGAGAATCTGGAAACACACTCATCCCTTTCCCCCCCAAATTAGCCACGGGAACATATATTTGCAGAGACTTGTTTCTCTTCAACCCCAAGCCCAGCCATCAGCACTTGGCATCAGTTGTGATTACTGGAAAGTTCAGAGCAGCAGCAGTGGGCGTGGACGAAGGATGGGCCAGGGAGCAACAGATCAATTGATCAGAGCTAAGTGCTACCCCTAAATCAATGGAGACAGCAATTTCTGGCCAACCCGGGATCCAATGAATCCCTGCCAGTGACACACCCCCTTAACCAGCGCCCTGCTTCCCCCACCCTCCACATACCCCCTTTCCCTGTATGACTGGGGCCTGGTATCTGCAGTCAGTCAAATCCATCATGAGCTTGCTGCTGGCCCCTAAATAGTTCTAGACATGAGGGGAAAGGTTTGTCAGCACAAGGGAGTTGAAAGAGCAAGATAATTCCAGTGGGATTGAAAAGAGGTGATGCTGTGGAGGGAACAGCCATCTCTGGCTCCTCTCTTGTAAGCTACACTCCACCCTGAACCATAAAGCTCCATATAGATGGAGGGTGGTGGGGAGAGTATCTATCTATCATTTGTATATAAACCCTTTTGTGGATTTATTATCTATCACTTTTATGTAAAGCCTATCAACGCAGGGTGAAATACTGACCCTACTGAAGTCAGTGGCAAAACTCCCATTGACTTTGATGGGGCCAGGCTTTCATCAATGGCATTTTGAGAATGATGCTCCTACTCCCTTTCCTGTGGGATTCTGGAGGGGACATAGTGGGGCCTGAGTTTGCACTGGATCCAGGGGCCACAGCTCCCCATAATCCACCCTTGCATGAGGCAACAAAGTGGTCTGAAAAGAACCCCCTAAAACAGCCTGAAATGGAAGGGCTTATCCCACACCATGCACGTACACACCACGTTTGACTCATGGAAGGGAAGCTGAAGGCTGTGTCAGTGTTGCTGGGTAATACTTGGAGGGTCTTATGTAAAGAGATTGCAAGAGGCAGGCAAGAGCTGCATTAAATATGCAACACACTGGGTCTGGTTGAAATTTATGGAACCGGTTGCACAGAACCTGTCACGTGGCTTGAAGGGGAGGGGGAAGAAGATGTCTGTGCCGGCAAAGAAAAGAGAAAGAGACTTTTTGAACATCTTTGCATACTGTTAATATAAAGCCATGGTTTTCTCGGACATACTGTACCCAAGACATCTCCACAGTAAGAGGGAATGGAAAGAGCAGAGCTAGAATTGTAAAAGAAATCAGAGTGTGCAACAAAATTCAAAAGAAAAAAAAGAGCTGCTGGATTTATTCGAAATGGTCAGAGTCCATTTCATCCCACTCACTCCAAGGAAGATACCCGAGTGGACGTGAGGGCAGAATGTGACCTGTTTCCACTTTACAAGGGTATTTGAAGGGCTAGATCCTCAGCATAGCTCCTCTGTTGACTTCAATGGAGTTTTACCAGAGCTGCGGATCAGGCCCAGGGTTTTAGGTTCTGTGTAAAGACACAGATTCAGACTCCCCGTCTACAAGCGGGATGCAGGGAGCACGGTTCCTACTGTGGCCATACTCCGGGGGCTTGCGCTCCATGAATGCAAGTGTCCATTGCATGGCGTCTGGCATCTGCTGCAATATGGTGCCCTGCTATACCATCCCACCCGTCAACTTGGCTACAGCTCCTAAAGAACGTGGTCCTAAAAGCGTGCACGGGTATTTGGTGCAGCATTGTCTAGTTCTACCAGCAGCTGGAGCAACATTCACTCCTGGGCAGATTTCCCCTGGGAAATTTGCTATGCTCTGGGAGCACGCCATGTCAAGTAGCTGCTGCCCATCCCCCTCGTCACATACTCCCTCCTGACCCACAGTACCCCAACTCTGCAGTACGTCTGGGAAGGGGCTTCCGGAGGCTGAGAGAAGCATATTGCATAACTGCGGCTTCTAGCTAATGTAATCTATTCTATCTAACCTACGTTTTTATACCCTGCTCATCACAGTGGTATCTGAACTTATCCCTAGCCAATTCCACTGGCTTTTTTGTTCCTGTGTAGGTCAGAACAGTATGGGGCCTTCAGTTTGTAAAGCATACTGGAATTTTTCAAGATGAAAGGGTCTCTCTCCATATATATTTAAAATATTAAATAAAAAGTTGTTTAAAACTCTCAACCCTGCACACCTACTGGCTGCACAGAGTAATATCTAGTCCTTTTAAATTCTCTTAATCAGGAACATTTTTCTGAATGGATACAAAAATATGGCAAGAGACAGATTTCCCCTGATAGGTTCATCCTGATCTGCTGCTACTACCAATAGGAAGGGATGGCTGGGCTGCACTGCCACCTGCTGGTACTGATAAAGTAATGCACAAACAAATTCTTTTAGGGTCATACGTTGCCTGATGTTGTTGAGTGGCCCTCAGCTCTCAATGACTTCAGCAGGAGCTGAGCGACCTCAGGAGTGTGCAGGATTGGATCCTTAAACAGCATACGTTTCTACTCTGCAAATAAGTTGAGCAAGGAAAATAGGATAATGCTCCCCTAGTCTGGCATCTTTCATCTGTGGATCTCAAAGAGCGTAACAGATGTCAGTTAAATTAATCTCATACTGTAACCCTTCTATGAGCTAGGTGTGGATAATAACAGCTGTTTCACAGATGGCACAGATGTGTGGGTTAACAGATCAAGGTAAAGATTATGGGGATGCCTACGGTTTACTTTGACCTTGTGTTAAAACTACACATTGCCTGTCTTCACTAGGATTTTATCTCATGTTAGTTACCATGTGCTATTTTACACTAATTAAGAACACACTTTTTCCCTAGTGAAGAAACACCCTGTAGCTATGGGGAAGACTAGGTTTTTCCTTGACCAGCTAGCACTTGTTCAAACTACAACTTGCCTCGTGTTCACTAGGATTTTAACATGTGTAAGGTGTCATGTTAAAGTATATCATTTCTTAGTGAAGCCAAGACCTTTAATGTGAGTCGTTACAGTCGTTTTATCTAGTTCTGTCTAATTTCCACTTTAAAAACTCTAATCTTGGCTTGACTAGTGTTTTGGGCCTTAGTTAGGGGTATGTCTACATGGGGAAATTGACTTGCATAGCTATAGTGGCATAATTATGCCACTATAACTATGCCAGTATAACGCCACATAGCTATATTCAGTGGTATAATTATTCTGCTATAGCTACACCGGTCAGTTTCCTCATGCAGATCAATGATTCAGCCCTTAGACTAGGACAAAAGGTACTTTTTTTCAACCGAGCTGGCTCAGCTGAGATTGAGAGTTTAGTTTAATTCAACTGAATACCCCACATAACACCAATGTACACAGTTTAACACATTTAACTTGATTGTAGCAGGTTGTCTACATTCTTGCCTGTGGCTATAGTATTTCTGCAAAATTGATCAGTAGTGAAATAATTAAATGACTTTAATGGCCTCTAAAATTGTTCTTTAAATCCTCAGCATTAAGCTTTGTCATCAACACCTCATTGAGATGAATGGGACATTTCAGACTTCCCTCAGCACGCTGTTACCCGCTGTAGATTCAGACAAGTTGGCATGTGTTTGTGTTTGGAAGATTTTCTGCACAACCACAGTGCTGGAAATGTGATTTTTTTTCCCTTATAGGAAACATAAACTCTTCAGAAATAGATGTGAGCTTCCAGAGAAGGAAATTCATCAGAGTGATTAAGGCAGGAAGGCCTTTTCTCGCTAGGGACATGTTGCTCTGTCTTGTATTAGCCTTTCTCATCAGACTTCTCTTGTGTGCAGGGAATGGAACAGCATGGAATGCCATCTGCTGAGGTGTTGATGTGAGGAGCTTGAAGCCTAGCATTGCTGGAATTCCCAAGAAGAAACCCAAGATCTACTGTACAGAGAGGGCCAGCCAGAGACAACGTGTGTGTGTGTGTGGGGGGAGAGTGTGATGCAGGGTCACATGCCCCCCCCCTCTGATTTGCTGCTTGGCTTGTATTGAGCATGCTCAGTAACAGTGCTGAAGCCAGCTGCCCTCATTCTGCTCCCCCCCTTATCGGCAGGCACGGGTTGTCTGTGCCCAGCAGTGAGTTTCATATCTGCAAGCTCCTCAATCATCCTTCTCTTTGTAGAAGGGGAACACAAAGCCAGATGCAGTCAGTATGAATAAGGTGTTGAATTGGTGCTGAAACCTCTACCCACTATGGTATGCACTACAAAATTAGGTCAACTAATTTAGGTCGACCTAAAGCCACAGCAGTAATTCAATTGGCTGTTGGTGTCCACACTACCCTCCTTCTGCCAATGGTGCATGCCCTCACAGGAGAACTTGCGGGGCACCAACTGAACTGGGGCACTGACAGCTGCACAGGGCTCACAGCTGGACCCCCCACCTGCCACAGGGTGACAGCCCAAGCTGTGAGCCTGGTGCAGGGCTCAATTTCATAGCAGGGAGCCTACCAGCCTTTCTTGTCAATTTCACGGTGGCCTCAGGTTCAGAACAGCAGGCAGGGGCTCACAGCTGGAGTCCTGAAATTGACAAGAAGAGTGGGTAGACTGCGCTGTGAAATTGAGTCCTGTCCAGGGCTCACAGCTGGGGCTGTCACCCCAGAGTAAGGGGCAGAGCTCCAGCTGTGAGCTCTGTGCCTGGCTGACCACTGGGGGTAGGGGACAGCCGTTGTAGACACAGCCTGAGTTTGTTTCTCTGTGCTTGTCTATACTGTATATTGGGGCACAATTCTTTGAGTCAGAGGAAGTCACCATGCAATGGTACTGAGGTGAGGGCTATGTAAAGAGGTGCCTTCCGCTATGCTCTAATGCAGGGGTTCTCAACCTTTTTCTTTCTGAGCCCCCCCGCAACATGCTATAAAAACTCCAGGGCCCAGCGGGGGACGGGGGGGACTCGGGCATAGATGTAGTTTGACCTCTATTTTGGCTGGGCAGGAGCCGGCGGGGCTCGAGCCACCTCCGCATGGTGGGGTCTGGGGAGGGAGCACCACCTCCACCCCGACTCACCTCAGCAGGCCACCCAGCCTGGGTTGTGGGGGGGGGGGCAGGGGCGCAACCAAAAATGATAACGCAAAGGTGGGGGGCTCATCTCAAAATGTTTGAAAAGAGCTCAGGGTGCAGGGAGGGGGGTAGCTAGGGGCTGTGTGCTGGGAGGGCTGCCCTGCGGGTCCCTGCTCCCCAAGGGCTCTGCCAGCCACAGAGCTGGGTCCCCCGCCCAGGCGGCTCTTACCGGCTGCGTGAGCAAAGGGGCCTGGGAGCTAAGGAGCAGTTTCAACCCCCTGGAGCAGCAGGGGCCAAGGGAACAAGGCTGCCTGCTCTGCCTGGCTCTTGCTTCCCGCCTCCGACCTGGCTAGAGGGTGGGGAGAGAAGGAGGTGGAGCTGCCCCGGGACTACCCTGCTCTTGCACTGTAGTTTCAGGGAGGGGGCAACATCCCCGTGTCCCCCCAGCTCTGCCCATGGGCTCAGGGTTTCTGCCCCGTGGGGAGTACCGGGGCTCTGGAATTCAGCCCTGCTGCTCCCGGCTTCAGCCCTGCAGGGGGCACCAGAGATCGGGGCGTCAACCCCACGGCTCCTGGCTTCAGCCCCACGAAGGGAGGTGCTGAGACTCTGGGTCTTAGCCGCAGGGCCCTGTAGTCCCCCGAAAGGGTTTGCGGACCCCCAGGGGGCCATGGCCCCCCCTGTTGAGAACCGCTGCTCTAATGTAAGCAAAACACAAACTCCTCTCCACTAGGGAAGTCCACAGGCAAGAGTCCTCTCCTGAAAATTCCTGGCCCCGATCTCTTAAAAGCTTTGTGCTGGATCTGTCCGTTGTTCATATCAGATATCAAGACAGAGGGTTCCAGGAGGGTACTAACATTAATTGTTGCAGTCATGCCACCTCAACTCGAGATCTTGTCACATCTGCCAAGCTAAGAATGACTGGGCAGGCAGGGTCATTGGGGGGCAGGGGGAGATCTCTAGGGCTGCAAAGTGATGACAACTTGCTGATGTGTTTTCATGCAGTGTTGTAATACAAGTGTGGCCTACTGGACATGCTCACAAAGCTGGCAAACCTGGGGAGTTCCCTTCTGTAAGTACACCTTCCACTGTCTGGGGTGACTTCTGCGCGGTTTTGTTTGGACTAGTTCTAAAGAAGAATTGATATCAGTTTCCACTGGTCTATCCTAAATGACTAGCCTAGAAGAGCTTTCAGGCAAATAAATAGGGGCTTGCAATATTATGCCACATCAGGCCCCATGCACATCATCATGTGGCGGCAAATCTGTGCAATAGATTAGTATTGCAATCTAGTCTGTTAATCTAATCTCTCTTTCTCTTTCTATTCTAATCTAGTTGATCTCTTTCTCTATGCTTTTCTAGTGCATCCATCAGCATAGACTCACACAAGAAAGAACCCCCTAATCGAGAGAGGATGGGGAACTTGGGATGAATGAGCTAAATTGAACTATTATTATTAATAACCATGTAGGTAGTGTTGTAAATGCCTATGGCTCTATAGAGTCAAGTCAGGGGATAATAAATAAGAAATCCATGCTCCAAAAGGACTTGTCCCTCCCTACAAATAATTACTACTGTGGGTAGCCTTGACTTCAATGGGGCTGCTCACGGTGGTAATTTCTATGTGCAATAAGTGTTTATGAGAGCAGGCCCCAAAATCAAACTGAGCAACACAAGACAGAACATAAGTGGACATACTTGGTTACTATGTTTCATAAACTCAGTGGGGCTTAACGGAGAGCTTGGTGTATATTAGTGGGAAGGCTACTCTAGGTATATGGGTGGAATAGAGGAAGTTGTCAAAGGAGACCAGGTCCAAGGGTATATTTAAACAGCAAAGAAAAACTCACAGCTGGCCTGTGCTGACTCGGGTTCACGGATATCAGACTGTGGGGCTGTTTCATTACCATGTAGACTTCTGGGCTTGGGCTGGAGCCTGGGCTCTGTGACACCTTCAGGGCTGAGCCTAGAAGTCTACACAGCAATGAAACAGGCCCACAGCCTGAGCCCTGCGAGCCCAAGTCAGTTGGCACGGGCCAGCCATGGATTTTTCTTTGCTCTGTGGACATACCAAAAAGGAGCAGTGAGAAGGGTACCTTGAATGGAATATAAGGAGTGGGGAGGAATATAGGATGAGATGAGGGCAGAAATATACATGGAATAGAGCAGTCCTGCAGGTGAGGAGAGGCAAATGAGAGATATGGAAGCTAGATGTATATTTAAGGAGTCAGGAGACATGGTCGGAGCAGAATGAACGAAGAATGACGATGGCAGCTGTATTTGGGATTGGATCGGGCATAGGAAGTGGGGGGAAATAACAGAAGGAGGGCAAAGCTGTCTGTTGTGAGCCAAGACTCAAAATGTCCAGCAATGCATGTGGCCTAAACTACAAAGATGCAAAGGTTTCAGTGAACATTCAACGCTGTCGGTGAGTTTTCTCAATAAGGTTAAACCATCGACCGTTGAGTGTACCCTGCGGCCGGATTAGCAGCAGCTGAATTGAAGGATTTGGGTTTAAAACCAGGTCTCTCCCAAGGTCTTCACTCAAACAGTTTAGCACATTCTAAAATACAATTCCTTTGTCTTGGTTAGAAGGTGTTAATTACATTGAGTTAGCTATCTTAATCTAATATCAGACTTTTAACTCCTAGGGCTTGTCTATAAGGGAAAATGAGTAGACTAGCTATTGCGGAATAGCTCAGGACTCCTTATTCAAAATCCCCTTCCCCAATCATAAATCCACAATGCCTTTCCCAAAGGGTACTTTAGTACAGGGGTGACCAACCTGAGCCCGAGAAGGAGCCAGAATTTACCAATGTACATTGCCAAAAAGCCACAGTAATACGTTCCCCCAGCAGTCCTCCATCAGCTCCCCCCCCCCAACTCCCAGCGCCTCCCGGCCCACCGGCAGCCCCGCTCCCCCTCCCTCCCCGCACCTCCTGTCATGATGTGGAGGAGGCTGGGAGGGGGAGGAGCGAGGGCACTGCAGGGTCAGGGGAGGGGGCGGGAAGGGGTGGAGTGGGGGGCAGGGCCTGTGGTAGAGCCAGGGGTTGAGCAGTGAGCACCCCCTGGCCCATTGGAAAGTTGGTGCCTGTACCGCCAGCCCCGGAGTCGGTGCCTAGACAAGGAGCCGCATATTAACTTCTGAAGAGCTGCATGTGGCTCCGGAGCCACCGGTTGGCCACCCCGGTAAAGTATCTGCCCCTGAAGACAGTTCCTGTTCTAAACTGCACAGTTGCTACAACTTGTGTGGATATCACAGCTCAGCTAATGTGAGGCATTTCAGAACACACATTCTTGGGTAAAGTCAAACAGAGTTGACTAATCCTCTTGCTCATATGTCTGCCAGGAAGGCCTTGTCTAGACAAGGGGCTTGTCTACACAGGGAAATTGACCAGAATAGCTATTGTGAAATAAGATATTCTGCAATGATTATTGCAGAGTAGCTCCCTGTATGGACACTCTGTTCCAGAATAAAAGTAATTTTATGCTAGAATATTTAGTGTACTTCTAAAGCAGAATAAATTATTCTGGGATAAAATCAGTGAGTAGTGTCTCAGTTTCCCTAGCTTTAAAATAGTAATAATTCTGCCTTTCCTGTACAGGAGGTTGTGAGGTTTAATTAATTAATTAATGTTTTTAAAGTTCTTTGAGAACTTCCTGCTACATAAGCATGAAGATGTTATATATGCTTAATCTCAGTGCCCCAACTCCGTTCCTGTGGTGCTTGCGGACAGATTCTTACAAGCCCGAAAAGTCACAATCAACATTCATTGCTGTCGGTGGGTTGTGTTGTTGAAGGAAAAACTCACTGATCAATGAATGCAACTGTGATTGGAATGGACACATCACATGGGAATGACCTTGTCTTCTGACCTTTTGCTGACAAAGGGATGGGACATCACTTCATTGGGAATGCTAAGGACCTTTCAGGAAATGACCATCTAAATGCAATATAGGAATGCAAGACAAAGGCTGGAGAATTTCAAAGTCCGTGTGAAGTAAATAATACTTTTAAAAAACAAAGACTAGTGGACTGATTTTCATAGGTGCTTGCCTCTCCCATTAACTTCAATCATCATAGAATTTAAATATAAAAGACTATTAGGGCTTTATCCTCAGGTAGTCTATATCTCAATTAGTGTATGCCTGTTCTCTGCAGGCTATTGTCAAGTGCTTTGTATGGTTTTAAAAGACTTGAGCAACAGGGCTTAGATAGGCACTCAGAAACTACAGTGATGAGCATGGTAAAACAGGATAGATAGATACTTCCTCTTTTCTTGGGGAGATTATTCCACTAATTTTACCATTAGGACTTGTATTTTCAGATATTCATCTTAAATTTCCTTTTATTATTTATGTCACAGCTCCTTGGGTTATCCGAAATAATCCTTTTCTCTCCTTGGTGTTTCAGATACTTGTAGACAGCATTGTATATCTTACAAAGATCTTCATTTACAAGAATGAACTGAAACACATTAAAACAGTGAGACTGGAGATGGCAGATGTTTTGTGAAGCATTGGCTGAAAAGTTAATATTATTCTTGAGATTTTGAATGACAATCCTAGCAGAATTGGCTGCAGTTTCGTCAATCCTGTCAGTCAGACCATAAATTTGAAACCAAAAATGGCAAATCACAGTTTAATGGCAGGGAGCATGTCTAGTGGTTAGAGCAGAAAACTGAGTTCTGTCTGTGGTCAGGATTTCACCCTATATGTCTGTTATTTAGTTATTTTGCAAAGGGGACCTGAGCATACTGAAAAGTATTTCAGTTGTTCCCTGAAAAGCAATTTTTATAGCCAGGTCTCCTGGAGCTTGAAAATCAATTCTAATAAGATGGAAATTTGCTATGGTTCCCTCATTGTTGCAGTGGGTAGATTACAACTGATGAATTCTACTACCTGGATGTTTGGGTATGAAAAGCCAAGAGAACATTATGGGCCCAATCACACATGTCCTTCCTCAGCAAAAATCCTGTTGTTTGAGTAAGGACTGCAAGATTAGGCCCTGTAAAATTTGATAATG